TGAAGATATGGGACATATTATTAGTTTTCATCCAAATGCTCTATCACAATTTATAAGTCTGGATGACTATGCTGGAYTATTGTACTGAACTGCTGATTTATTGTACATATTCAAATCCTAATGTTCATATTTGAATATGTTAACCTCAATGAAAGATGCCTAAAACTATTAAAATCGATCATTACTTCTCAAAGATTYCTGCATCAGCATCTCCAGGATCTGTTTCTCCTTGCCATTTAGATGAAGGGAACAACAATATTGAAAAACATGTTGAAATGGTGGATAATTTGGACAATAGCTCTTCCTCAGAAAAGCTGGAAAATGTGTGTACTGAAAAAAAGCCCTGTACACAACCGTCAGATGTAATCATATCACCAAATCAGCCCCAGAATTACAGCTTTCCAAAGTCTACATTTGGAAAACAAACACGTTGCTGTAGATATGAATGGTTTAAGAAGTACACTTGGCTACATTATAATGAACAAAACGATTCAGTATTTTGTTATGTTTGCATTAATCAGAAAATCAAGGGGAATCTATCTTCTGTGCGACTCATCGATCAAGCATTCACATCTAAAGGATTTTGTAATTGGAAGAAAGCCTTGGAACGTTTCAAGGAACATGAAAACTCGGAGTGTCACAAAGTCTCAATAGAATCTCAATTTGTTATCCCAAATACTCACCACGACATCCAATTGACAAGTGAAAATGCTAAGAAAGTAAGAGTTGAAAATCGTCACTGCCTGGCAAAAATTATCGAGTCGTTGCAATTTCTCGCACGTCAAGAAATTGCCATCCGCGGAAACAATGACATTGAGTCGAATTTTATTCAGTTATTACGGCTTCGTTCAAAGGATGATAAGCATCTGGCTTAATGGAAGTCATGGACAAAACTACACGTCTGCTGATATTCAAAACGAGTTGCTTGGTATCATGGCCAATCAAATTGTTCGCGAGTTAGCAAATGACATACGAGAACATTTTTTGCCATGATATGTGATGAGTACACGGACATATCCAACAAGGAACAACTAACATTTTGTCTCCGATGGATCGATGATGAAATGCATGAGCACGAAGATTTTCTAGGTTTTTTCGAGATTCCAAACATCTCATCAGAAATCTACCATAAAGGATATCCTGTTAAGATTGAATCTATCACTAGAAATGTGTCGAGGCCAATGTTATGACGGTGCAAGCAACATGCTAGGAAATACGTCAGGGGTTGCAGAGAGAATTTTAAACATACAACCAAAAGCGTACGCTACTCATTGTCATGGCCACTCCCTCAGTTTAAACGTAAAGGATGCAGTCAAGAGGTGTAAGCTTCTGGAAGATACGATGAATACTGCTAAGGAAATTGTAACACTCATTAAGTATTCTCCGAAACGAGAAACACTGCTTGGCAATATTAAAGATAACTTAGATGAAGAGGATGGGCAATATGCAGGTGGACTTCTTAAACTATGCCCAACCAGATGGACAGTGAGAGCGTCTTGCTTNGGGAATCTATCTTCTGTGCGACTCATCGATCAAGCATTCACATCTAAAGGATTTTGTAATTGGAAGAAAGCCTTGGAACGTTTCAAGGAACATGAAAACTCGGAGTGTCACAAAGTCTCAATAGAATCTCAATTTGTTATCCCAAATACTCACCACGACATCCAATTGACAAGTGAAAATGCTAAGAAAGTAAGAGTTGAAAATCGTCACTGCCTGGCAAAAATTATCGAGTCGTTGCAATTTCTCGCACGTCAAGGAATTGCCATCCCCGGAAACAATGACATTGAGTCGAATTTTATTCAGTTATTACGGCTTCGTGCAAAGGATGATAAGCATCTGGCTTAATGGAAGTCATGGACAAAACTACACGTCTGCTGATATTCAAAACGAGTTGCTTGGTATCATGGCCAATCAAATTGTTCGCGAGTTAGCAAATGACATACGAGAACATTTTTTGCCATGATATGTGATGAGTACACGGACATATCCAACAAGGAACAACTAACATTTTGTCTCCGATGGATCGATGATGAAATGCATGAGCACGAAGATTTTCTAGGTTTTTTCGAGATTCCAAACATCTCATCAGAAATCTACCATAAAGGATATCCTGTTAAGATTGAATCTATCACTAGAAATGTGTCGAGGCCAATGTTATGACGGTGCAAGCAACATGCTAGGAAATACGTCAGGGGTTGCAGAGAGAATTTTAAACATACAACCAAAAGCGTACGCTACTCATTGTCATGGCCACTCCCTCAGTTTAARCGTAAAGGATGCAGTCAAGAGGTGTAAGCTTCTGGAAGATACGATGRATACTGCYMAGGAAATTGTAACACTCATTAAGTATTCTCCGAAACGAGAAACACTGCTTGGCAATATTAAAGATAACTTAGATGAAGAGGATGGGCAATRTGCAGGTGGACTTCTTAAACTATGCCCAACCAGATGGACAGTGAGAGCGTCTTGCTTTCAAAGAATATTAGKCAATTACGAAGCTTTGCTTGAGACRTGGGGGATTTCTCTTGAAAATCGACTTGATTCTGATGTAAGAGCTCGTATTATTGGCTGTGACACGCAAATGAAGAAATTCGATTTCTTTTTTGGTCTAACCTTAAGTCAACGGCTCTTTGCTCATACAKRCAACTTGTTCAAGACTTTGCAAACATCTTTCAGCTACATCAGGACAGCACTTGGCGAGTCTGACTGTGGAAACMCTTCAAACTATGAGGAATGAGAATGCATTTAATAACTTTTATAAAACTACATTAAAAAAGGCATTAAAAACAGCATTCAGCAATTTCACAGCCACAGCTACCAAGTAAGCGAAAGGCACCCTCACGTTTTGAAATAGGTTCTCAACCTGGAACACATGCATCTACACATAAAGAACACTACAGGAGGATATATTATGAAGCTCTTGACCTTTTTATCAATGCCATACAACGACGGTTTGAGCAACCTGCATTTAAAGTTTATCGTAACATTGAAACCCTTTTACTTAACGCTGCACAAGGACAAGGGAACGATTTATCTGAGGAAATGGAAAAACTTTCCATTGACTTTATTAACATATTGATGAAAAATCAAAGTTTAAATTGCTTTTACGACATTCTCAGCGTAGTAAAGCAGCTAGAACGTGAAGAACAAAGTCTCATCAATGAAGTTATTTCTCTTTGCAAATTAATACTCGTTAATCCTGCTACTAGCGCATCTGGTGAGCGGTCGTTCTCAACTGCACGAAGAGTAAAATCTTGSCTCCGATCAACAATGACACAAGCCAKATTTAATCAWTTAACTGTTCTTCATTCCCATAAGGAAAGACTTGACAAGTTGTGCTTGACATCTGTGGCAAACGCTTTTGTGGAGTTGAATGACCATCGTCAAAGAAACTTTGGAAAGTTTAAGGACGAGGACTTTCTGTCTTTCATGCAGCCCAAATAATGTAATAGCTGATTATAACTGCTCGATGAACTTACAAACTATCCCTGTTAGAGTGGCAACTCTTTATGTTAATGTGACTGAATTTATTCGTTTTATGAAACTTTTCTTGTTATTACAGCTACTGCTAATAGAGTGATATATTTAACAGCAATTATACGCACAGCCCAATAGTTTAGTATACATACGTTTTTATTCGTTTTTGAAAAGAACAAAAATTGAAACTTTATAGCTCCACCCATCAACAAAAAAACGCTCCGACGTCCCTGTTATCATGCAGTATTTATTGGTGATTTTAATTACAATTGGTTTGATAAAAATCAAAAAACTCTCAGCTACATAATTTCTCCATAAAAGATAATAACTACAGACAGATAGTGACAAAGTGCACTACAGATAATAAGACCTGTATTGATCACAAATATACTAATTTACCTGAGTCCTCTATTTCATTTAATGTTTTGGAGACATATTTTTCAGACCACAAAGCAGTCTATACTTTAATGAACTGCTTTTTCTAAGCACAAACAACAAGAACGTTTTGTTACAAATACATTTCCTGTAGACAAGTAGACAAAAGAACAAATTTACTGCAACCAACTATTTCCTATCTTTATCTCAATTAAAGTAGAATATTTTAGGGCATACATTTCGATCTTACGTTTTGTTTGATTTTCTTCAGATGTCAAAGCTCTTTTCACGGACAAAAAATGTTGATTCTATCTTAGTATGACTAGTAGAAATAATCGTGTTTATAATAAATACCTTATTGAAGTTCTTTTGCAGAATACAACTGAATTAACGAACTACGTACAATAAGAAATCTAAAACTAATATATGATAGTAATAARCTTGTTCTTGTTTTGATCTTAAATGTAGGTTATAGCTAATGTTTCTATTATTACATTGAGGTAGTAGCATATTCAATCGGTGGTTTTCGGATTTGATTTTGGCTATATATTGTACACAGATAGAATGTCTTCTTTTAGATAATATTTCTAGTTGTATACAAGTTAAGTCTTCAACATAGTTCACCTGCTCTCGCTTTATTATGTGCAGAGCTCTTTTCTGTATAGATTCGATCTTGTCACTTGTTGGTATTGCCTGCCAAACCGGTACAGCATACAAATACAATACAGCATACAAATACAAATCCTTTGTCTTTCTATTAGTAAGAAATGTCACTCACTTTATATTGATATAATTATCCTTTAACACTCTTTTCATAATAATGGTAAGTTAATATTTAATACGAATTAATTTCAAAATGCGATACTAATTACTATTCCTTCTAATTTCTTTTTCAGCACTTTCGATAACATGGATGACATCGATGACCTGTCCTTGTCAATTCTCTTTGGAGAAGAGCAAGAAGAGCAAGCTAACAGCAGTAATTCTGACTTAGCACAACAACATACAGCAAGCTG